AGGTTAAAACTAATTGCAACGTAAATTGCAACATTAAAAGTTGCAACATATTAATTACAGTTCCCATCTTTAGTCATAACGTTACCATAGTGAAAAGTTGGATCATTAAATCATGTGTTCTAAAGATCAGCCAAAGTTATACCATAAAGCCGTCTGAAATTATGATATAGAGCCAGCCAAATTAATCACAAATTTACTATACCACTAACACGAATTTTTTTACCACAATTTGGTATTTAAATAGGCAATCAAATAGACGTAAAGAATAAGCACTTTAGTATAGAGTCTGACATTCAACTAAATACAAAAGGTCAGCATTCTCGACATAAAACCAGATATCTAAATAATTACAAACTGCTACTAACAAGCAAATATCTATTTAACAATTAGGCAACCATAGACATTATTCACCATTACAAATTATAATGAAAGCATTTATCAATGCACAGCATATAATAAAAATAGGCATATTCAGGTTATTTAGACATAGATGTATTTAGGTTATTTAATTACATAATTACAGTTAATAAATAGGAAAAAGGTAAAGAAAATTGATTTTGAAGGTAAGGAATACAGTAAGAAAATAAGAAAGTATAAAAATCATCATATTTAAGTTATTTAATTAAATTATTTAATCATATTTAGGTTGTTAACTTTTAGATTATTTAATTATAATTAAATCATTTAATTATATCTAGATTATTTAGCTATATTTAAATTATTTAGTAACATTTAGATTATTTAATTATATCTAAGTTATTTTATTATTAAATAACCTAGCCTAGGCTGATTATGACTAAATAATAAAATTATATTATTTAGTTATAATCAGCTATTTCACATCTAAAAAAACTGTTTTCAAATAAAATAGTATCAGGTGTGATGTAGGGTGATGATTATTTATATAACCACATACCTGAGCTTTTTTGTAGGTGATGCTGTATTTATAGGAACCATCACGTGGTATAGAATGGATAAGAATAATATTGTTTTCTAACAAGTAATGATCCTAAATACATTCACATCTTATAAAGAAATGCTTTGAATATAATGATGTTAAAGTTTTTGATTGGTTAACATAATTACCTGATTTAAATCTCATTGAATACTCTTAGAATAAACTGGTAAGGTAGCTTGAAATACCTAGAATCAGTAATAGAAGTAATAGGATGCAATTTCAAAAATTTTTGGTTGAATTTGAATTTGAGTTATGTAAAAAGCTGGTTGTTACTATTAACTCATAAAAATGATATAATTAAAGCTAATGTGATGGTTATATCAAATGATAAAAATTATTTACCAATGTTTTTATTTACATAAAAATTTTATTTTTATTGATATGCTGCGCTTTCTTAATCACAAGATGTGTTATTTGTTAAAATTTTTGTTCGGGTGAACATCTTTGCCATTTTTATTCATCTATCCTTTGAAAATCACATGATTAGTATGATAAAGTACCTTTTTTGAATTATCAACTCTACACGTGAAGCAAAAACTTGAAACGTTAAAAATTGCAGATTACGCGCGTTAACGCATCTATGACACCCGATCGACTAAAAAGTTTCGAAAAACATCTACAAAAGAGTAAATAATTGGACCTAAAAGCCATTGATGTTTCGGTCTTTATTAGATGTAATCATTATTTAATAAAAATAAATTTTATACAAACAAAAAATAAATAAATTTATCGTTATCTGATTTTTGTTTTCTCGATTCTTTTTTTTCGTGTGGCGTACTTGAACACTTTAAACGAAAACCTTTTATAAATTGTATTAGCAATTTCATAATAAAGGATTGTAGATCAACTATCTTGGTTTTTGCTTGGAATTTATCATCCTGATGATAATAATAACATGAATAAACAAGGTATAAAAATTAAAGAATCCTTATATTCTCGCTTTTTGTGGCGCTAACCCCTGAAGATCTTGTATGGCGTTATGTTCTATAAAAACGTGAAAATTAATTTCTTTTTTTTTTTCGGAAATTTCTTTTATAATAATGTTTGATTTAAGTCTTAACACATTTTTTTCCCCGGATTGGGTGAGTTGCCTATGTTAAAATTTGGAACTTTACTTTTGAAATACTCTCGACGACTACGTTTTATTCAATTTTTTTTTTATGAATTAGGCTGAATTCTTTGGCTCGCTCAGTGTAGCTGACGTGTAAGCAATTTTCTGAAAGTGCGAATTTCTCTTCAATTTTTTAAAACATCTGACTATTTTAAATAGGATTGCGGGAATACCAGCCTTTCTTGTGTTTTACACAGTTCTACCTAGTGCTATATATACGGCGCGACATAGAAGCAGTAAGGGAAATTGGTATGTTCCACCAGAACCTTCTGATGAATCACCTTCGATGCAAGCCAAATTGGTTAGCCATTCTTTTTTTTTAAAAAAAAAATTTCACGTCATTATTTCGAATTGAAATTCGAAATAGTATGTATTAAAATTTTATTTTATTTTATTTGTTTGATTAATAGCTATTATTAAATAGTTTGGCAGTTTTATTTTCCGTCAAGTATATTGCACAATATATATTTAACCATCCAGGACCAGAAATTTTTGTGACAGGAGCATTGTTAACTGTAGTGGTAAGTAAATGATGAATGGATCAATCTGTCAAATAATCATTTTCTATTTCTAATTTCATCCTTATTTAATTTAGTTAATTACTGTTGTCATATATCATTTTGAGAATATTGGAATTGTAAAACCAGCGATCCCTCTATCTGTTTTATGGGGAACTACAACACTCACTACTTTATATTATACAACCTCAACTCATGATATTTCGCATGAAATATACCTCGTGTCTAGCCTGTTAATGTTTATGTTAGAATGGGCTTCTCCAAGGACACCCACGATCACAGTAGGTTTTGATCATGATAACTTTTTATTAAAAAAAAAAAAAAAACAAATCAAACTCACTTTTTTTATAATTTTCATAATGAATAGACCACTCCTACGAATCCTGTAACCACGCAATATAACGTAACTCTTCCTGCAACTCGATCTACAGAATCCAACCATTCAAAATCAGAATAATTTCATTACTTTCAACGATCATTATTATTATTATTATTTATTTTAAAAACCGTGTTATTATTGAACTTGGTATAAACAAAAACTTTAGCATTTTAAATGTAGTTGACGAATTTCTGTAAGATCAGCATATTATTATCTACTGAAGAAATAATAATTAATAAAAATCTTTACGCATATTATATTTAGTAATCTTTTTTTAGAGTGTACTCGTCATACATTAAATAATCCCGAAGGTAATTTTGCGTCGAACCAAGAAGGAATCTCAAAACCCAACGCGTTTAATATAATAGCGGCACAATCCATATTAGTAATTTTCTCTTCAAGAATTTTCTCTTTATTAAATCCGTTACATTTTAACCCCATGAAAACACGCGTTTCATCATCAGATTTGCCACCATGATCGTGATTAACACCACCATGATCCGTAATAGCAATGATAAGAGAATCTTCGGACCAACCAGCTGTTTCAATAGCTTTTAAAATTTCACCAATTTGTGAATCCATCACAATCATTTGATTCAAATAATTTTTCGAACCCCAACGATGAGCATGACCATGTTCATCAACATCTACTAAATGAATAAATAAAAATTCCACGTCATTATTTTGAGGGTCAAGTATGTAATTCGTTACTTTTGATACAACGTAAGGATCAAAAGATGAATTTAATAAAATCCTTAGCTTGATCCATAACCAAAAACGTAAAAAGAAATTTTCATTAATCTCGGGTGAATATTTATCCATTTTAACAGACAATTCAATAATTCCCGTATTAATTGGTCCCCAAGAAACGAATGACGCTAATCTCATTTCATTATGATCTTGTTGTAATAGTTTAAAAAGACTTGGGTACGGACTTTTTTCATCATATGATTTTAAACCAACCGTATCATTAGTTAAACCATGTTTGCTTGGTATCACCCCGTGAAGTATCGATCCCCAATTTTCCGCACTATATGATGGTAATTGAGCTCTAACTTCTGGTCCGAGGAACACAAAACTATCGAGATTTGGTGTGGGGACTTTTTTATAAAAAGTACCTAAACCATCCAAGGCCAAAAGTATCACGCGTTTATATGGGGGGCTTTTAGATCTAATAAGTGGATAAGTTTCATTAAATTTCTCAATGGTGATTTCAAGCATTTCGTTTTTTTTTATCTTCCTTTTTTTTTTTGCAACTCGAATTGGAATTCACGTGTTAAACTTAATTTAAAATTTCGGATTTGAAAAAAACCTTAAAATCCGCTCAAGTAAGATCTACGAATGTGCATTTATGTTCGTGTAACTAGCAAGACGCATAATAAAGATCGTCTTTTACTCTTTTATTTCTTTCAACCATGAATGGATTATTACATTTAAACTTCTTGAAACCAAGGAAATTAGGAACATGTAATAATTTATTTAAAAATATTTTCAGTGTTCGCGTAATATTACCTCGACCCCTAACAACACCATCAATGGAGAAAAATGATAATCAAGATGATGATGATGTTTTGAAAACTCATCAAATCCCTGGTAGATATCTTCATTACTTTAAGAAAAGTAAAAGACATTTAAAGAAAGAAGCTCGTAATGAAATCAAATTCAGGGATAACGCACGTATCAATCATTTTCGTTGTGAAATTTTATTTATTAAAAAAAATTTTTTTTTGATTTTACTTTTAAAAAATAATAGGTCGTTACTAGAATTTCGTCACGAAAATTACGTTCAGATAATTCAATCACTGACAGAATTACCGATTCGAACGATGATGATAATTCTTCTAGCACGCAACAGAAACTTGCCCAAAGATTATCTCGTGCGATAATCAAATGCGATGATAATGTACCTCACAATTATTTAAGTTCCACTTTTGTTCGAATTGTGAATGTACGTTTTAAAAAACACAGAAATTTAGCATTTGTTTTATGATATGTAACTGAAATTGTCATGAAATCTTCCAACCTTCAATATTAGATTAGCGTATTGCCCGAATCAAACATCGCTAAAATCTGGTGGAAACCCGATCCACAAAAGGGAATTAACGAGGTAGGTTAGGAATAAATTCTTTTTTTTTGAATTTTCATTATATAATTTTGATTTCTTTTAATACTTGGTTTTCAACCGTCCAATAAAGTCAAAAATCGAAAATACAATGAACAAATACTCAATCAAATACCGGAAGATCCTACAAAATGCGTTGCATATGAGGAACCCACCAAAAATAGTTTTTTTACGTTATGATAAAACATTTGGAAATATGAGTAAACTTTTAGATAAGATTGAAGAAGAGTTAAATCACAAGGAAACCGAACCTTAAATTATTTAATTTTTGGTTTGGAAAATAAAAAGAAACCTTTAATTCATAATTTAATATTACCCAAACAAAGTTTCGGGTCAATTATTAAACCTGAAATGTTGAGCCGTGTAACATGTTTATTGTTGCACGATAGATATTATATGAATAAATTATTCTACATTCAATTCCTTACTATATATAATATAATTCGATGTTTATGAAAAATATAAAACAAAAAAGTAAATAATAAAAAAATTAGTAATTGATGAAAATTGATTGCCATAACTAATAATCGAATTATAAAATGATTATCTGATAAAATTTGCTTGCCAAAATTTATCCACCACTCAATCCTCGCTAAATAGAAATTTATTAGATCTATACATAACACCCCTCCTATTAATAATTATTTTTTTTTAATTCAATCAGAATTTCAATAAATATTAGAAATTTTTATTCCTTAAATATCGTTGTGGCGGCTTAAAAGGTGCCGTTAGAGAGGTGTTCATTAAATATTAATATTATTATTTTTTTTATTTTTATTTTTTTTTTATGGGGATAAAGGTAACTATAATTCATATTATGAATCAAGGAGGCGTTGATGATACAATGAGTCCGGAGGATGACATATTATTATTATCCACTTCGATAACGCTACTTGGTCTTATAAATGCAATTGGAATTTCCCCCATGATCTCGCCCAGCGAACCATCATTTTCACGACCATTTTCCATATCTCTCATTTCTTTATTTTTTTCTGCATCATTTTTTTCCTCATTATTCACGCCGGTCATAATTGGCGTTGAATCATGAGTATCCTGTGTTATTGACCTGTTTCTATCTAAATCCGTTTCTTCTGATATCGACGCTAATCCATTTTCAGCACTTTCAGCCATGGCCTGTATAGTTGATGATATGAATTGTGATCTTTCTTCAGATGACAAGTGTGAAAATACAAATCCACGTACATCCACGTCATTGTCTTCTGCAAGTCGATGTAATAATTCATTGATTTGTGAAGGTCGACTTGAAGGATTCTGATAGTATTGTTCTTTAATAAATAAATTAGAGATTGTTAAAAAACAAGAAAAAATCGACGTAATATCATCATAGATTTCAAATGAAAGAACAAATTTACCCATTCGACATAATTCACCAACAAGTCTTGCCAATGCAATCCTAACATTTACTACTCTGTCTGATGAAAGTTGCTTTAAATCATTTAAAAAGTACTTTTCAAACTCCTCTTTTGGATAATCTGACGAAATAAGAGCTTTGCAGATCTGTACAAAACTATTAATTAAGAGGTACTTCAATCAACAATATTTGTATAAATACAAGTATAATAAATCGAAAACATTTCAAATTAAACTTACACTACTCTGCCTCTAAATTTGTCATCAGTGGCAAACTCGCAAACTCGCTTTATCGTTTCCTTATAAATTGACTCATCGCTCCGGACGACTTGAAATAAAGTTGGAAACTAAAAAAAGAAGAAAGATAAGAAATTTTGTCAAATTGAGATGATTTTTAACTTTATTACTCACACTTGAGACAGCCGTTTCTCGAATACTAGCAACCTCATCCCTGACTGCACGGATAGTTAAAGGTAATATATAATTTATTCCATTTTGACTATTAAACAATCTACACAACGCCGGTATTTGCCTTATCATAATAGATGATTCAGTATTAAAGAGTATTCATAAGAAATAAATAATTAAATATGCAAAATTAACATAATTACTTGGAAATCTCGTCTCTCAAACGCCATTGGTGACTTACACCATCCCACACTTCATTTAATGAAGGTAAATAATCATTCCGAGTATTTTGTGGCAAACACTCAAAGAAATCTGCAAGATGTTCCATGAGACCTGATTTGACCTCATCCATATCACCCAAGTAGAATGCAAAAACGGATATCAAATCTTGTTCGGTTTTTGTGGGTCCAATTACTTTCGCAATTTCATGAAGTGAACAAGCCAAAGATCTACGAACTTTGACCTATAATATATGCAAAAAAGATATATTAATTCACAAGTTTAATTAAAGCAAATATATCATATGATCTATAAAAGAGTAAAAAAGGAAGGAAAAAATTATGACGCAATTATAACCTGCATATCTTTTGTTAAAGCAGCATATGTCTCCTTTAAATCGTCCCACCGACTTTTTCCCAGGGTTAAAACCACAGCTAGGTGGTAGAAGTTCAATTAAAACATTTCAAAATAAGCTTATAAAATCCAAATGATAATATAACAAATATTAAAAGTTCTATCTCCCAATCTCACCAGGAAAATTATATGCACATATGACTGGACGTTCTGGATCTCTCTGACCAAGTCCAGTACTATAGGCATTACCAGATAGATTTGAAACACCAACGGTTGTTTCTCTAATGGGTCCCAAACCTAGAAAATGTTGTACCAAGCTTTCGGGTACGTTGCCATCAGGTTGGAAAGTGGCAATTAATTCACCAATAATTTCGCCAGCAGCCGATCGCACACTCCGGCTTACATCTCCCGCAAAAAGTTCGATTCCTTTTACAGCTCGCTCAGCTTTCATCTCTTCTGGAAGGCGAGCGCAAATCGTAGGTAAGACTAGGCAGCAAGATCGACGTACGTGCCAAATAGGATCGATTGAGAAATGGTCGTATATGGGTAACTTTTGATATTATTGTTTGCTGAATATCAACAATCGGTAATAAATCTATCCAGAAGAAAAAAACAAATGGCTTGCTATTTACCAATTTTGACGTAATTATATCCAAGGGTAGAACTCCAGCTAAATTTCCAACTGCGAGAGCCGCTTCCTATATAACCAATTTAATTTTATGATTAATTATTAATCAATAAAGGCAAATTATATCATAAATCCTAAAACTAAACTACTCCACCTTCCGAACATAAAACACTGGTTCATCCGACATTTTATCCAATTCAGGAACAAATAAACGAGTACATCTTTCTGGTCCAACAATGGGTGCAAGGGCTGCTATCAACTATCAATAAAAGATTAATTATTTAATTTAATTATAATTGTGATACCTTAACAAAAAAATCTATGAATTGTATTTTTCACAACATACTGTCATCATGGTCATTCGTCCCAATTCAGCTTCTTCTTCACCGCCAGCAACGGCACCAACACTTGCATCATCATCTGCATCCCATTCGTTTAATTCCTCCCTTTTCGCCTTCTCCTGATCTAACCTTCCTATGCCCAAAACGACGCCCTCTAAAGTTTCTCTTTCCAATAATTCTTTCTCTTTGGGATTTACATCTGGCTCCTCTAATATTTTCTCAACTAGGGATTGAACGGCTGCTTGTGCTGCCGATGCAATACTAGTGTTTTGATCGAGAAGAAGTATGTGAAGAAGAGGAGTGAAAGCAGCCGGAGATAAATATGGTAAATGAGTTTGTGATTGTGCAGGAAGTTGTTGTAATTGCTGCTGTATAGGTGTTTGAGGTCTTTGAGGAGTTTGAGGTCTTTGTGGTGTAAGTGGTCGTTGAGGTGTTTGAGGTCTTTGTGGTGTCATTGGTCGAGATGTTATTGTTGTTCCATTATCTCCCTGAGCGTTATCAGGTGTAATTTCTTTCAGAGGACAATGCTATTCCATAAATATGAAATGATTCCACTTAGAATGTATTCAAATAATCTGTTTGTAAGCAATAATACATACTGAATAATAAAACCATATAATTTTGTCCAATTCGGGTGCAAATGCCTCACGGACATGATCCTCTAAGTATGATTAAAAATATTTCCCTTATTTAGATACAATGAAATCCTATATGGATAATTCAATAAATATATATAAACCTGGATCAGTTCCCAAAGAGTTCATTAAAGGTAACACATATTCAACCGCTTCACTAATTTCCACATCTCTTATTAATGAGGGAAGTTCCTTTGCAATGAACACTCTCATAAAGAAAATACACGGAGTAGACCCAGATCGATTCGATTAATTAATCAGAAAAGAATTGAAACAAAATAAACGAATGAATCCAAATTAATATATAAACTTACCTATGAAATACCAAATCACTTTTTACATATAAAAATATCTTTTCAAGTGGTGACAGAGAATCATCCAATAGAAGTTCCTCTTCCTCCATTTCTTCCGCCACGTCAGTGAATTGTTGTTCTATGAGGAAATCCAAGAAAAAGAATTGAAACTTTTGTAGATAATCATTTCATAATCTTTAAGTAGCCATGCATTTAGTAGTAGATTTAATGCAACAGCTTAACGGACGAATATTCTATCTCATACAAAACAAAGTCTCAAAGCCACTTAACAAATAATAAATGCTTACCAGGAGAATTCTCTGCCATAGCAGCTAATAGATCTTCAGAATCCAGATCGTTATTATCATCAAGATTCTCTTCCCTTACCGGAAGGGTTGGGTCTTGGCTTTCTAATCCAAGTTCTAAAGAAATTATTTAAAAGTTGTGTGTTTTAAAGTTCTTTATGATACTGTGATAAATACGTAAACAAACTTGAGGAATTCAACAAGAATAATTCGGTGTAATGCTAACACTCTTACCCGCCATTACACGCTGTATAAATACAATAATTCGGGCAAGATAATAAGAGAAATTCTTTGCGATGGGTAAAAAGTTATTTCTTGCGGTCTCGATGAAAAATCGAGTTTCAACGTTTAAAAAAATTTGATGTAATATGATGTAACGATTTTGGTAAATGATGTGGCAACGTTGTGGCTGTTGATACCAAAAAGAGGTTGAATCTTTTCTTTTTTGAACACATTATTTCTTATCAGATTTCCATTTTTAGCAACTTATACAACAACTCCAGATTTTTACGAAGTGGTCAATGCTTTTTAATTTTTTGATCGTTTTTAACTAATACAGCAACATCCGTGCAATTTTTTTTTTTAAAAAAAAAAGAAAAAAAGGTGGGATATGCAATTAAAGAACAAAGGGGGCATCGGATATTATAAGCAAGCAACATCTCGATAATCATGAAATTCATTTTTTTTATCTTTAGTTTTTAACCTAACAGCATTTAACATGTTTTCTGACTCACGAGTTTTGGCACCAACCATTCCTAAACCCATTCCCCATTCGTTCTTTTGTTTTGTCATACTACTTCTGATTCTCCATAATAACCCTCCAAAACCACCGAATCCATGATATAATACCGCCTTACGACTGGGTGCGGGTATAATATGTTTTACATGATGTTCTAAAACCAATCCACTTTTAGGATCAAATTTATACATAAAGATTCCTGAAAACGTTGAACGTGGAATTCGCATTCCACGAGAAGAAAACAATGATGTAACATAAGAAGACCTGGGTATGCCCTCAAGTGTCCAACGAATATAAAGTCGGGTATTTCTATCTGATGGTGGTAACACAGATGTAGAAAAATATGATCCTTTATGTTGACTCTTTGATAATTGTACTTTCTTTATATTTCCGTTGATCTTGGTAAAAAATTTATCATTTATCACGCCTTTAAAATAAATATCTCGACTTGATCTATCCTCATCATCAATGCCATTTTCAACAGTGTGAAGTTTAATTAGTTCTAAGGTCAGATCATCAAAATACCATACCAAACTCCATCTTAATAAGTTAGCAATTCCTAAATAAATATGCTTCCCGCGTACGTGAAGACGTGTATGATGAGGATCCGTTAGTAAAATATTTGGCGAATAGATCGATGTATCAGATAGACCTTTTCCAAAAAATAATGGCAATTCGGTTCGTATTGTACGAATCGCTTTGAAATATTAATGAATCAATCAGAAATCGGAAAGACAAAATCTTAAAAAAAAAAATGTGAGAAAGAACTAACTCGGAATTACCTCTACCAACATTAAGTGTATATTCATCTGCTCCCTTTGGCTCATTTTCCGTTTCATCCTTAATTAATGATTTATTTTTCGTTGTAAATTTATCGTTTTGAATACTTTCCAATGTATGCTCCCAAGAAAGTTTATTTTCCTTATAAGGTATATAAAGACTTTCTTGAGTAGTTCTGCTGTCAATTATATTTAACTGTGGTGAAATTGTTGAAAAAAAGGAACTTATGCCTAACAAAGACCTTGAATTATACTCTGTTTGTAACTTTTTGTGCACTCTTGACTCAAAGTTTGTTCTAGAAATTCCAATATTTGGAAAAAATGCATTTACAATTTTATTTGACGCACCAAATAATGCGCGTATACTTGACATTAATAACATGATAAAAATTACAAAAAAACTTGGTAAACTTCGGTATTAATAATAGATGTAATTTATACTTTTGTAGATTACAAAAAGAATTTTGATTGGCTCAGTGATTTGTAGAATGCAGAAAGTCACGGGATTTTGAATTAAAAATTCAAAGAAAAATAATACAAATGCTTTTGTTCTATTAAAAAGAAAATAAAGTTTAATCATCTGAAACGACTTCATCTTTTTCATCATCGTCAGCCTGATCGTTGTAATATTTTTGCCTTTCACCATGTTTCACTATGGCACTTTCAGGTATGACTCCTTCAGGATTAAGGTATCCGTAGTCTCGTTCTGTATGTTGATCAATAGAATTAAGCCAGTTTTGGAAGCTATTGTCAAATTATAAATAAGAAAAATCCTTTTCAGCATGAATCATATAAAAATTTCCGTGTGACTTAGGCAGGAAAATCAAAAGTTACGTGTTCTCGGCAAGTTCTTCTTCAAAAATCTTGGAATAAATAAACCTATCTTTAAATTTATCGATTTGATCCTAGAACGTGTTCACATTAAATAATAATCTTATTAAAAATATTTATTATATGACTATGTAGGAAAATTTATCAATTGATATTACCTGATATAGATCATAGTCGATCACCTCTTTTCCTTGATCTTTAGATTTTCTGTTATAAGAATTGAATACAGGCTAGAGAGAAAAAAAAAGATTGCCGTTACAATCAAAAATGAAAATTTCGAGTTTACATTAAAATTGTAACTTTTTATTTTATTTACCCGTTCAAGTAATAAACCTAATGCTGGAGCTCTTGGTATATTTATCTTGATTTGTGAGAATGAATTTGCAATAAGAGAAATAGGTGTTCCCGTTCTTACGATCATCACTATTAATGCTTTATATTAAAATGAATTGATTAAATTAGTAAGAAATTCATAAAATTTATTCAAATGTTTATCTTGTAAAATACTTACAAACCATTTTACGAATTTGATGGAGCATAAATGATTGCCCATGTACTTTCAAACTAACCCATTCGGTATCATTAATCATTTTAGGATCGCCTACCTTAAAACGTTACGATAAAATTATAGACAATAATTAAACTATAATATACAAGATAGAATAAATGACGCTTACTTGAAAATTGACAATATATCGATTACAACTTTTCTCCTGTGGATTACGTCCTAATGTGAAGTTGTGATAGTTATGTGTGCCTTCGTATGCCTTAAATCCTTGTCTCACATACTCCAAAATTTTTTGTGATATACGATATTTTCGCTTTTCGATCATTTCTTCAGTCGTGGCGAGAGGAACGTCTGTGAATACATTAACGTTTACATTTGGCACTATCGAATTGGATTTTTTCTCAGAAGGAATGAACACATAAGTTGGTAATAGATATTCATATATACGGGAATCGCATAGGGTCTTCGCGTGAAAAGAACGAATTACTTTAACGTATCCTATCAAAAATAGTTGAAACTATTAATTTATTTATATAAAGCTTTCTTCAATAAATAAAATCTATACTTACCCCATATTCGTATTTGATCAGGGAGATTTTCGTTAATCTTCTCAACGATATTAGGAATATCAATAATCATGTAAAAACATCAAATAAAAACAAAGTTTATAAGTTTGACTTAATAGATTTAAAAAATGAAATATAAAAGGTATTTTACTAAGAGACTTATCTTAAGTGAAATTAAATTTCCAGCTGCATGAACACCTTTATCAGTCCTGGCAGCACGCATCAAACCAACCTGTTATCACATTATATCATTCTTAAAATTTCTAATAAAGCACAACATTTTCAGAGCGAATTAACCAATTACGTACTTTTTTAGGATCATCTGAATTGTCTTTAGATACAGCACCAGAAGCGACAAAGGCCTTAAAGAGATCTTCTTCAATCGTCTTCGCGTTGGGATTACTACGAGATTTCAAATTATCAAATTACGAAATACATGTAATGTGATAAGAAATCGCAAATTTCATTGGTGAAGTCTCAATTCATCCACATACATTTGCATTCCTTGATAACCAGTCCCACAAAAGCCAACTAAGACGGCAACTTTCTTTTTTGGCTTTCTCGGTTCTTTTGTTTCATTCGAATCTTTACCATCATCTTTGCTTTCTAATAATTCTTTATCATCACGATTGCCTTTCCTATTTATAAAGTTCTTATTACGATGTTCTCTCCTATCTTTAGCTGTGGTAAAACGTTTCTTTGAAGGATGAAATTTTTCCGAATTGTCTATTTCACGTTTTATAAGTACTACTTCCTCGGTTGAACCAGAAGGAATTGCATTTTGTTCTGCTTTAATAGTGGCTACATTTATATACAAATTCAATGATTCGATTATCAAATATTATATTTAGCTACAAAGTAAAAAATTATATATAATATCTCAATACCATTAATCAACTCTTTCATTAATTTCTCGGTTGGTGTTGTCATCGTTGTTAATTTTAAAAGTATGTTTTGATGAATTCTGGCAAAATTGTAACTGTATTGTTGAATAAAACTTCTAAATTTGAAAGAATTTTGCATTGATGGAATATTTATAAATCTTCGGAAAATCATGTTGTGACGTTTACGACATGCATAATTGTAACACCCTATAAAATATCGATATATATAGATCACAAAAAAATTTTTTTTTCCAATTTTGATTTTGACGGTATAGAATGGCATTAAACGATACCATTTCTTTAACTTCTATTAACCGTTCAACTTCGCATATAAAAATATCACCAATCATAGCTCGCAGGGTATCGGGTAATATATAATTCCTTTTTATAAATAATAAAATCTTATGAAATTTATTGATTATAAAATTTTATAGGTAAAATATGGAAGCATCCAAAGAAAGCAGCTCATCGTTCACAATTACCACACAGTTTGCGTAAAAGTTGGAATGAAAGGTTGAAAGAACGAAATGAAAAACAGGCTTTAAAGATGTTAGAAAAAGAATTGAAGGATGAAAAGAAAGCCGAGAAAAAGGTAAATTAAATCGATTTAGACTAACTGAGTATATGCTATTATAAGTAATCGATTTTTTTAATTAGAGAAAACTTGAAGCTACTTTGAAAAGAAAACAAGTATTGGAAGAGAAAGAAAGACAAGAAAAACTAGCTGCCATTGTAAGTCAATAATCTGTAAAATGTCGACTGTTTTAATATCAAATTCAATACCTGTATTAACTTTTTGTTTATAGTATTCGGCAAAAAAACTAAAAAGGCTTCAAAAGAAACAAGGGAAAAGAAAATAATTTACTATACCCAGATTATTGATGCAAACAATACTTTTTTTTCTATATATTATGTAAGAAAAATAAAATAATAAATTTTCGCGATTGAACTCACGTGAATATTAATTTTTTTTAATCGGAAATTGTTCATGCTTTTCTTATTGTTGCTTTAACTTCAAAGTTACACATTCACAACATGTCACACGGACGCGGTTTATCGGCAAAAAAACGCTACTGCATGTATGAACTATAAAAAGCGCCTAAAAAATTTTTTCGCTCACTTTGCTTAATAAAAAATGTCTTCAAATGACACTTCGTTGATTAAGGGCGTACTGGGCAAAAGAACATTTGCCGAAAACGCCGAAACTGAAGACATTAATAGCCATAACCAAATGCACCCTCGTAACAGATATAAAGATAAACCTCCAGACTTTTCTGTTCTTGCATTTAAATATTCTTCCTTTTATCCATTGTAAGGATCCTTGTGTTTTATATTAATAATATCCTTAAAGTTTAACGAATCTGACCACCATTATTTGTTATTTGTAGTGTACATTATTCTAAAGAAGGTAAACCTTATATTGACTATAAGAATCCAGAAGCAGTTCGGTAAGAAATTATTCCTTCATAGCCTTTTTATTAAATTAAATTTTACAAAGGTCAAATGAAAAAATTTTTTTTTAGAGAGCTTACATATTGCTTATTACGTGACGATTTTAATCTAGTTCTAGATATCCCCTTAGATACTTTATGTCCTCCGGTAATTAACTTTCTTTGTGGTAATGCTTCATTTATATAAAGTTCCTAATTTAGCTTAAATTTCTTTCAGATTCCAAGCAGGTACCTTTTTAAATCCAATAATGCTCACTATATTGGAATTCGGTTGTCTCACAATCTATTTGTTTTGAATTAAAGACTGAATTATATCCATTGGATAGAGGATTTAGTATCATCGACAGAATCTCATGAAGATTTGGATCAGAATACTATTTATGGAATCGATATGTAAGTATTCAATTAATGCTGATTTTATATCTCCAGAATTGAGTCAATATCTTCAAGGCGATTTTTAGTGGTACTGGAGCGTCGTGTATTTATCCATTACTTGGATGTACTTTGAACAAGAACTGGGCATTCTTGGCTACTGGCAAGTATATGAATATAGCTCGTTAAGCATATTGTTTATAAACACATCTGTTAACACATTATAAAGTACAGATATTGATAAAAAGGCGGTTACATATGCTAAGGAAAATGTGTTGCGAAATAACCTGGATGAAAGAATTACAGTACATCAAAACAAGACAGACAAGAAAATCCTTATGAGCGAGAGCATGATAAGAGATAGCACTCTAAAGTGAATATCATTTTAACTTCTTATCGCTTGTTATTACTTGTTCTTTATTCTCATTATTTTTCCTTTAATTCAGGTTTTCATTTTGTATGTGCAATCCACCATTTTATGAGAGTCAGGAACAATATGAGAGAGGTTTAGAGAACAAAAAAGCCAGTCCTCATTCGGTATTAACAAGTTTCTTTTTCTTTTATTAAAATAATCCGTAAAAATTAAAGAGACTCATTAAACTTTTCGTTATTGCTAGGTTTGCACTGGATCATCTAATGAGATGTTCACACCAGGTGGGGAATTTCAATTTATTAAGGATATACTAGAGGAAAGTTTGACCTTACGTACAAAAATTCGGTATGTTATAATATTAAGCTTTCGATTTGAATTTATTTAACATATAATTAATGTTTTTGAGAATTTAGTTGGTATACATCCAAGATGGGACGTTTAGAAACGGTAAACAAAGTAGTACGTGAACTAAGAAAATCTGGAGTATGTATTTCTTCCTAATATTATTTAAATGCAAGCATATATTTATTTTATTTTTTATTTACAATTTCTTGAATATAAGATAGATAATTACGTAATAACTGAATTCTGCCAAGGGCATACTCGGAGATGGGGAATAGGATGGTCATTTGGAAGTCAGCGTCCAACTTCTGTAAGAAAAATGACTAAGAATTTTTAATAATTAATATAACAGCTTAATAAAATTAACTTCAATTGGATTTTTAGAGTGTCTCGCAACCAACCTCCAAAAAACTTCGGAAGTCAGCACCACCAAAAAATGAATTCTCTGTAGTTCTATCAGCAAACATTGAAGACCTTTTGGAATTTCTACAACAACTTTTCGATGAGTTGGAAATTAATGGACAATGGAACGGAGAAGCTAATACATTCTATGGTATTGTACAAATCAATACATGGTCACGTGCCGCTAGAAGGGCTAAACATTTCAAACCTGATGTAAAAGAAACTCCTATAATGTGGAAGGCACCTGAAAATGAGAATTTATTCGAGTTCACATGTAATATTGAACCTTGGGATGTAAGTTCTAGTAATACAAGGGTAACGGTTTCATGGACTAATGGTAAAGACAGGAACATATTTGAATCATTTTATAGTCATATTAAAAAACGGTTAGAGCAAGAATTTTCTGCCGATGAGTAAATTTAAATCTTTAAAATATTCTTTTCATGTATATTATTATAACATCCGCAATAAAAGAATGTTATTTTTGGGCGACAAAAATTATAAATATAATCTTATGATTATAAATTTTATTTTTAGCCATTTAAGACCAATTATGTTATAAATTTACCAATAGAATCCAAATTTCAGAAATATTTGTAAGCAAGCAATTTCCATTCGTTATTAATATTGATCGAAATCTTTCTTCTGCGCGTATATTGCTAGGGTTGATTGATGATGATAATATATGTGTATCTCAATCTTAATGATATCATTTTTTTTTCCAAATTATGCAACACAAATATTATAAACAATGTTGTTCATGTGTATATAAGTAATATCATATATAATTATTATATAAAATTAAATGAATAAAAAAAAAATATTTATATTTTATCATTTGTATTTAATTTATTATTAAATTTTTTTTATTACTTTAAAGCATATTATACAATCCTATAGGATTATCCTAAGCTTGTATTATATAATATTTTATACTAATGGCTAATCATTATATAATATTTAATATTAGCAGCTTATTTGCCTTTAATATTAAATTTTGTTAATTATAATATACTGATGAAAATTTATATTTTTTATATTATTTTAATATTAACTTTTTAAAATTTTACTATAAAATACATAAAAAAGCATAAATAATAAAATTATAATTAATATTGATGGTTTATATAAAATATTTAAATTGTATAATAATTAACTTTTTGAAAATAAGAAATACAGTGAATTCTTGATATAATGAATTCTAGGATCTGGATATCAACTTCGTTATAAGCTTATAACGAATTTTTTAAAGAATTTAATT